CGGCCGCCACCCGGGCAAAATTCAAAATTTCCTACCAACGAAAAAGTATTAGGTGTGTCCCGCGCGCTCATATGACCTTATGCAGTTGCGAGCGCTGTAAAACCCTATACTAAACAAACGTCACATTATGAACATAATAACTTAGGGTACCATAAACAAAAATGATTTTTGTTGTTATGGCTAAAGCTTATGTGCGATGTGTTAGACCCCATTGTGATCAACGGATAGAAATAATGACTATACCAGAAGTGGTCAGAAAGATAACGGGTCTAAGTCTTATTTTGCTAGACATAATAATATTATATTTTTAATTCGACTACACTTGTCAGGGGAGACTACACAATATAACATTTGAATGAATTCATGGTGAGATGGTTTGAAATAAGAGTTACGGCCAATACAAATACCCAAATTCCGTAGTACAATACCATGTCAGTATCCAACTGCTTTCTTTCTTGTTGTTTGTTTGTTTATTTGTGTGTCTGTTTTCTTTGTTTTGTTTGTTTTTGCTGGTTTGTCTTTGTTTGTTTGTTTGTTATTGTTTTTCTTTGTTTTGTTGTTTGTTTGCTGTTGTTGGGTTGGTTTTGTTTTTTGTTTTTTGTTTTTTTTTTGGGGGGGAGGTGGTTCGTTTGTTTTGGGGAGGGGAATGTTAAGGGCAAACAATTTTCTGGAAACAACCTCAGGGTGACTTAGATTTTTTCTAGATCTGTTCAATAATAACAAACGTATTTTATTATAACAATAAGTCTTTTTCAAATGGGGATCGAACAAACTGATTCATACAACAACTTTAGAAAATAATGAGTGCAATGCATTTGTACGTTTTCTTAACCAAAAAAAAAAGACAACATTTTTTAATGTATTTGTTTCTTTATTTGCTTTAAAAAAGAAAAAAAATCATTTTTATGTTTATTTATTTTAAATGATGCTTATTTCTTCTCAAACGAAAGGTGTTACAAATAAGTACGTATACGGCATATTTGTGTGGTATCGTAGTGTCACCAGGCGCGGGACAGAATAATGAAATCGAAGAAACCAACAACTTGTTCGCCTGTTACAACATTGTCTTTGGTCTGCAGTTTGGACACAATTAATAAGTGTCGGCTATGTCCTTGATAGGTTAAAGTGGGTCGTTGGCGGGTGTTCTTGTGTTGTTTACGCTTTTTATTCCTATCAAACATTTATCATCCCTATCTTGCATCTAGTTTATGTCACTCTCTAGATAAGGTAAGATAAGATAAGATACATCTTAATTGTCCAGATCCTGACACATTGGTTTTGGTGTTTCACACACACAACACACACACACACACACACACACACACACACACACACACACACACACACACACACACACACACACAAACATGTACACACACGCAGGCTTACAGTCACATGCATAAATGTAAATGAACAGTAATAAACAATAATAATTTTAAGCTAAATACATACTCAGTATTCTGACTGTAACTCAATGTTATTCATGATCCATTTCTGTTACTAGTGCCGTGAAACTTTTGCTAAATCTTAAGAGTTCAAGACTGTCTGTGACTGTTTTTGGGTTTGGTTTTTTTTTTTCAGGTGGAACCTCTGTTGACCCATGTAACTATGACGGGATGGCCGTTGTCCACTTGTTTGGTTCCATCTATTGTAACGGCGTGATCACAGGGGGCAAGCTAGTCATGGCAGAGTCTTGTGGCACTTACCTCAGACTGCTCACGAAAAATTTGTGAGTTGAAGCCATCAGCTTTATACCCGGTGCACATTACAATACCAATTGTGAGGCATCGTGGTGAGATCAGGCGCTGGTCAAAATAAAGGAATCAAAGAAAGAGGCATTTATCTGCCATTTTGGCATTTAAAAAAATTGAATTTAAAAAAAAAAAATTAATTTTTT